GACCGGGACACCATCACAACATGATTGGGTCACAATCACAACATGATCGGGACACCGGGACACCAGCATCACATGAGCCATCAAAACATGACCGGGACACCATCCGCCCACCAGCTCTGACGGTGACCCGACGGCGCCCGTCCGCCTATTAGTTTTGCAAGACCCCATAGCATGGCTATTGGGGAATAAAAGCAATACAATTATATACTATAAATATATATATACTATATATATATGAACCAAACTGGTATACCTAGCAACAGAGATCATTAAAATGTGAACACATGTGTGGAGGTTCTGTATGGACCCTTCTGTAGACTGTCAGTATGCCCCATCATACCGTTTTACTGTGGTTATATAAGTTCAGTTGTTGAAATTGCCCAAAGATGTTGCTAGCTTGGGGCAAGGTGTAGGAAATACCCCTGCTATTGAGTTGCCAGCCCCGCTTGACCCACAAAGTGTGATGATGCGAAACAGGCGACATTGACTAGGTCACCGTCAATGCGGGTTGCTTCACAGTGAGTAAATAAATCATGACCCCACACCAGATCAGCATCCTAGCTCTGCCGAAGACAACGGAATCCAACAAATCGCCTCACCGACATGGACCTGTTGGTACTAGCAATGCCAGGAGCTACTAGTAGCGTCCTTGCTACTAGTAGTAATGCCCTTGTTACTCTGTTACTTGTTATTATATAGTAGCTTCTTGTTGATTGGTCCCGAAAAGGTGCGCCTAACATCGGCACCAGGACCTGTTCAAGATCGATCTCGGGGCTCTCCGCCGGCACCTGTGTGTGATGGGCGAGCGTCACAGCAGTGGAGAGATTTGGAGATTGGAAACATGCTCCAAATCTGTGTCCCATGGTATGATTTGAAGATTCGCCAGCAAGTGATAGCTGTCCAAACAGGTGGTTTGGGCCCATGGTTTGTGGAAAAGTGAAAGCTGTTTCAAGGCCACTACCCAAAAATACACAGTAATACACGACGTCCTTGTCTGTTGGACCAAAAAGTCTGAAAAACAATCAATGAGAGTAAGTATCATAATCATGTCTTTGCTTTCGGAGGTCAAGCCGCACACTGGAACCTCCACCTCACCATTTCCGAAGGTAGATCTCATCTTCTCAAGTTTCAGACAGCAGACTTTTGACAAACAGTTCTTTGGGTTGAATCGCCTATGGGTTGATAGATGAGAACACGTGATCCCCCAACCCGAACAACCCTGCTCTCTGTCCCGAACAACCCTGGGTCCCCCAGGCTCGTGCGGGCGACGCAGCAACAGACGTCTGAGACGGGTGAGGCCAAGGCAGATGTGAGATGTGGCCAAATAGGCGTGGTAAAGACTTCTTCACCTACTCAGCGAATCCAAATGGTACAGAATAGGCATCCAAAGATGTAGCCGACAAGTCGCGCCAGCTCTACGTAGCAAGTTTTGCAGCAAGTGGTTTGCAAAGGAAATGTGGGATAGCCATGTGCAGGAGGTGTGCAGGTGACTCCCCTTCTGCTGGCCTTGCCAGGAATGAACCTCCACGCGGTGCTCATGTGAGAACATGGGATGCTGCAGTGATATGTGCTGGTTTGTCTATGTCTGTCTTCACTTCTATCGAACTCAAGTTCGTCCCCTGGCCGTGAACGCCTCCGGCAGTTCCGTTAAGGTTCCCAAGCGCTCTTGCCGGTCCTGGTGGGCCAAAACAGTACTGGCCCTGTCCGTAGATTGAGAAATTCAGACACTGTGTAGCTGTGTGCATGTGTATTGTTGATAGTACCTATTCTATTCTGTACACATACAAGAAGGCGCTCGTTCAAAGGATCTTCATCCATCTCTCCATCTCTCTCCATCCGCTCAACTGGTCGCCCGCTCCGCGCCCGCTCCGTGCCCGCTCCGTGCCCGCTCCGTGCCCGCTCCTCCTCGTATACCGATTCGAGGTGCGACGCCGTGGCTGCCCCGATGATCACCTGAAGATGGCACACGGCTTGGCTTCACCAAAAAGTGCTCAGCAAATTGGGGAGTGGGGGGCAGTCGCAGTTTCTCGAGGGAAACTGGCATCGGAAAACTTGAAAGAGAGGGAATCAGTGTCTCATGGGAAGAAGGTTTCACATGGAGTACGCCTAGCTGATGCTACGACAGATGTGGGAGGACCTGGCGTGAAAACCCTCGTTTGGCAGTCGGGGCCCCAGGCCACATGCGCATCCGAGACGTCCGACATGGCACCTGGCATAGTGACGGGAATGATTGAACAAGCTCAGTCTGTGCCAACCAAGAAAAAGTGCAGAAACGGGTTTCAAAAGAAGACAAACGTTGAACAGCTCGCGTGCTTCTTTCATCCAAAAAATGTTCAAGTTTTCTTTCGGTCCTAATATAGAATCTCGACTGGGAACTTTCGGCCAGCGTATGCAAGAATCCTAATGAAGCAAGAAAATCCAATTCTCCTCAGCAAGCACTCCACAGTTTAACTTGAAGCATACCCTGAGCAGAAAGTCACTGGCATCGCTACCAGGATCATCGAGGAATTGAAGTCCTTTGCAACCTTACACCTTGAGATGCTCAACCCAAGCTGACAAAAGAACAAGAGAAAAAATATATGCCCAAGTCCACAGTCTAAAGAAGAAAGTAAACATTTGAAGGAAATAATAGGAACTTATCATATATACACAAAACTTTAGTATCAATTTCCCCAAGGCCGGGTCCATGTTGAAATCCACCAAGCCATGGGCCTTCACTCTCAGCGCTGTGCCGGCTATCACGACGGCTGTCTTTGCTGATCCGCCGAGAGTCCTGATCGCTCGGTCCCGTCGGCCGAGGTCGTCGTGACGCGAAAAGGGGCGGCAACGGTTCACCCACAGAATCCCACGGATCATGAAAAATATTGGGATCTGAAAAGAATTGCCCCTTGGAAGACTCTATCATGATCTAATGAGCCATATTTATATATATTGTCGAAAGGGTGTCCACTGACCTGACCGTTGGATGTCCTCCCGCCACCAACCGTGTGGCTCAAGATCTCGTTCGCCGATCGTTGTCAAACAGTGCGCCATGACACCTTGCTTTTGACCTCCCTACCACCTGTTTCATACAGGTGGTAGCGGAGCTGGACGTTGGTAGGACCTTGGGGTATTCTTCATCGAATAGCTGTCCTACTTCCAGTTTCCTTTGGGTATAGCAATGTCAACTCACTCTCGACACCGGCCAGGATCTGACACTCAGGGGCGATCAGCATCTGCGCAATCATCTCCGCAGCCTGATTATTTGAGACGTATGCCACAGGTATGCAAGCTGAAGCCTCAGTTCCACTACGGCCCCCTCCAGGATTGGAAGAAGAGCCGGCTCCTGACGAGCTTGATCCAGACCCCTGGCAGCAGTCTCGACCGAGCCCAGTGGACAATTCAGAATTCAGGCAGTTTTTGACTTGAATTTTGTTCAATCCCGTGAACAACCAACCCATCACACGGGGAACCCTGTGAATAGAGGTGGTAGGAATTGGGATTCATATCGGGGATACACATCCCGTCATCAGGATGACAACGAATCGGATCATGAAAGGACGAATGCAGGTCCGCCGCCGACTTTTGATGGCACCACGGACTTCAAGGATTACAAGATCAGAGCTCGACTATGGTTATCCACAACCAAGTCCAAGCCCAGGACACGTGGACCTTTGCTCCTCAAGAATCTCTCCGGGTCCGCCTTCGACAACTTCCAGTGGCTCGCCAATGATGATAGCTGGCTCAACGCCTCCGACAACGGAGAAACCTTGCTGGCTAAGATGAACACTCGTGAATACTATGGCGAGGACTCCAGAGAAGACATGCTCAACTGCTTGGGTCGGTTGACCTACCAGTTGGAGAGATCCAAGGGGGAGAACCAGAGGGACTTCTGCGCCCGCTTCGAGATCGCAGTTCGAAAGGTCCGTGACCATGGAGTTCAGCTTCCACCCGAATACCTCGGTTTCCTCTTCATCATGTCCCTTCAGCTGAACATGGAGGAGGTGAAACTTCTCATGAACTATACAAAAGGGAGCTTGCATGTGACCGACGTCCAAGAGTGGCTGCGTGTGCACGAAACGGAGCTTGACTCCGGACTTAGCTCCAAGGATCCCAGCAAGACCAATGACAAGAAAGCCGTCTTCCTGACCGAGGTCGCTGAGGGCTCCGAGTACCAGGAGGCTGAAGAAAATGACGGCGAGAACTCCGACTATGAGATTCTCCTGGCAGCCGCTGACGAGCTCGGGGTGGATGAACCGCCTGAGGAGTTCGAGGAGGCTGACGCCAGAGAGATTCTGGCGAGACCATCGTAGCTTCGGTGGTGGAAAAGGTGGAGGAAAACGATCCTTCCAACAAGTGAATCGCATGAAGAAGAACAAGGAATTGGCCCGAGAATACCGAGTCGCTCGAAAAGGCATGGTCACTCCGGGAACCTATCGAGTTTCCGGACCAAGTGCGCCAACTGTCGTCAGACAGGACACTGCATCGTGAATGCCCTAGCAAGTCCGGCACATCCACCAGTGCCAAAGAGGTTCAATTCCTTGAGAGCGATGAAGCGATGTTTGTGAACTTTCTCGAGTACCAGGACTTCAAGCATGGCCATATGAGGTGCACCATTTAGATTTTGATCCACTGGATCAGGCAATTTTTCGATGGCATTCAGCAAAAACCGCTGACCAGAGTGCCGCAGCATCCTCAGATCAGTCCATGGCGCAATACAAGGAGCGCAGTCCTGACCGCAGCACACATGAACTTTTGCTTATGGAACAGTACAAACAGTTAGCTCGTGAAGACATTGATGAGAGAACATGTGCAACAGTTGACACGGGATGCCAGCGTTCAGCAATTGGTCTTGATACTTTGCATAAACTTTGTGCTGTTCAACCTAGTTCACTAGCAGTGACTATGATTCCAGAGGAGCACAAGTTCTGTAGTGTACATGGAGTGTCAACAACAAGTCGTATTGCGTGCATTCCAAACAGTATTGGACCTCATGGAAGTATTTTGCGACCAGCTGTCTTTGAAGAAGAACATAGCAGCAGGGCACCGTTTTTACTTTCGCTACCATTTTTGTTGGAATGCAGAACAGTGTTGGAACTTGATCCTGTTAGAGGCCTATCTATGCATTTCAGAAAATTCAATCACAAGATCGCACTACATCTTGGGCCTACAGGGGTATTGAGGGTTCCACTACATGAGTTCACGCCGGCTATGATTTCACACCTACAGCAGGGAGTTCAGAAGATCCAGTCCACACAGGAGCACGAAATTCTTGCAACCATGGCTCGAGCCAGCGATCATAGTCAGTCAGAGACGATCCACATCCCGGACTGCTCCAATGCAGACTCCAGGAAACAAGCGAACCCGGGCCATGGGTCCTCAACCGCAGGAGGAGATGATCATGATCCGCCGCTGGCGCCGCATCATGTTGCGCGCCTTTGTGATGATCCAGCAGGCATTGATCCACACTCTGACCTTCCGGATGAACATGCCAGGATTCCAGGGGCAGCGAGCTCGCCAAATGTCCCAAGATCTCGATCTCCTGGCCGACGAGGAGCTGGACTACCTGCAAGATCAAATCCTCGACCAGACCCAGCGCAGAATGTCAGACACCGACAGCTGGTCAATGGCGTCCTTGAGTCAGAAGGCGCCGATGACACCACCTCGTGCTCGGGGACAACGTTCCAGTCACCACAACGACGAGGAGGAAATTCCACAATGTCACTGTCGACGGCGGCAATCCAGCTCATCACGAACAAAGAGGGCCCAAACCATGGCAGGACATTCTGGAGGTGCAGCCGGTGGTACGAACCATACCGGGCATGCAAGTTCTTCCAGTGGACCAAAGTCCAGTTGAACTGGCGACCAACGGCCGGAACTCCAAGCAGCAGCATGTCGAGTCCGGAAAAACTACACGGCTCACCGGCACACAGTCCGGTGGCAGCCATCGAGCCAGTCTGCCTACACACCAGAACCACCAAGTCGGGATCCAACGGATGGATCGAACAGATCAAATGTCTCGATTGTGGAGAGATTGTCCAGAAGACGGAGAAAGCCAAACCAAAAGGGAAGACCTCCAGTTCGTCGTCAACCATTCCGACTTCGAACGACGGAACGGCCGAGTTGATGAGCCAGTGGGAGGAGTTCCAACAATTCAAGAAGATGCAGGAGCAGCTCCGCCGCTGACGACAAAATCACCCACTGAGGAGACTGAGCTGGACCTAGATCGCAAGACTATAAATCCGACACATATACATCGGATGGAAGCATGCTTGAACAATGCAATCTGCCAGTGGAACTATTTGATTCAATTTTGCGAAGATCCCACCAAGTATGAACCTGACATGTTCCTACAGCATGTTTGCAACAAGTTGGAACAAGACAAAAGCAAGAAGCATGTGAAGAACATTGCGCAATTGTTTCATTTGGAACCCAGCAGTTTGCGACAAGTCTCTGAGATCTTCAATCCAAACCGGTTTGGGCCGGCGACAAAAAGACATGGACTTAATCAGGGCCAGGTTTTCGACATCACACTTGGAGATGATCTACTCAAGAAAGAAGCACAGGAAACAGTCCTTTCACACATCAGGCATGACAGGCCTGGATTGACAATCATTTCACCTCCATGTGGGCCATTCAGTGCATTGCAAAACCTGTCAGCCTCGTTAAGAGCTAATGATTGGAATGCTGCAAAACGACATATGATCAAACTGAGAGAAGCTAGAAAACTTCTTCATTTCGCCATGCAAGTGTGTGCACTTTGTCATTCATTGGGCTTGTCATTTTTATTTGAACATCCACGAACCGCTCGTTCTTGGCTGGAAAAACCCGTCCAACAGCTTCTACGACATCCCGATATCGAACTAGTTCACGGCGATCAGTGCATGCTTGGCCTCAAATCCAAGGCCACCGGCATAGCGATCAAGAAACCAACTGGCTTCTTGGGAAACAACAAGACCATCCTTGAGGCCCTGAAGATCAAGTGCTCAGGAGACCATCAACATGAACAGCTTGTTGGCAGCAATCAACATGGCCCGAGATCGGCCCAGGCCCAGGAGTATCCGAGCTCCATGGTCAACACGATTCTCAAGGCCTATGCCAGGTCGTGCAACCTTCGGCCACATGAACTCCATCAAGTACAAGCCTACGAGCTGATCCATGAGGACTACCAGGTCAATGGAAACTACTTTGAAGAACTAGAACCAAATGAGATTTTTGCTGAACAAGATGACATACCAGTTCAAGCGGTCTATGGTGCTCTTCAGAATCAGTTCACGGAGAGTGCTAAGGCAAATTATCTTCCGGAATCAAGCCAGCCATGGCATTTCTGGAGCCGAACCGACCTGAACATCAACAATTACCAGATCACCAAGGGTGACAGTCCCCCACTTCCAGACTGTGGAGTACCGCCTGACCTTCCGTTTGCGAGACCAATCACTCATCAAGCTGGACAAGATTAGTGAGCTGGCCGATGAACAACTTGAACAAGAGCTGCCTGAACCCAAGCAGGACACCGTCACTGTGTTTGCCTGGAGACGGTCTCGCGACTTAGCTGGAGCCCGGCAGATTTCGTTAGAACGATTAGTTCGTAGAGCACATGAGGGTTTAGGGCATCCTGAGCTTAATCGATTCGTTCGAATATTGAAAGCTAGCCGTGCCCGACCGGAGGTCATTGAAATTGCCAAAAACCTGAAATGTTCAGTTTGCCAGCAGTTCAGAACTCCATCTCCCATGAAACACAGTGCACCGCCCAGAGAGAACCTCCAGTTCAACCAGCTTGTAGGAATTGACACCGTCCACCTGAGGAATCACAAGCACCAGCCTGTCCCAGCTTTGAGCATCATAGATTCTTCTTCGCATTTTCAACTAGTGATCCCAATGAACAATAGTACTGCCAAAGCCGCTAGACCGGCTTATCGCCAGTGGTTGAAGATTTTTGGTGCTCCTACCCGTATGTACGGGGACCTTGGCAGTGAATTCCGATCTGTTTTCGTGCAAGCCCTGGAAGAGGGTGGAACAGAATTCATCCCGAGTGCCCTGGAAACCCCGCAACAAAGAGGTTTGGTTGAACGAGCTGGTAAAACCTTTAAAACCATGCTTTATAAAACCATGGCCACCACATCATGCACCACCGAAGAAGAGTGGAAAGCATGTGTCGATACGACCACGATGATGAGAAATAGATTGTTGCTGCGTGGAGGATACTCCCCGATACAGCGTGTCATGGGATTCACCCCACGACTGCCAGGGGAACTCATGATTGGACGTGAACCTCACCTCCGAGGAAGAACTCCAAACTCGGCAGGCGACATGTCTGTGATGAGAAGCATGGAGCTTCGACGTGCCGCAGCACATGCATTTTTCGAATCGGACTGCCAGCAATCCTTGCAGCAAGCCTTATATGCAGGCCCAAGGCCGTGGAGATCCTTCGAACCAGGACAAGTCGTATTTTTCTTCCGTCGTGGAGCGGACACACAGAAAAAGCCGACTGACTTCTACTGGAGGGGTCCTGCTCGAGTTTTGCTTGTGGATGCACCCAACACAATTTGGTTGTCCTATCGGAACATCATCATCAAGGCTTCACCTGAACGTCTCCGCCCAGCAAGTAAAGAAGAAACATTAAGTCTCTCCCAGTGGCTGGATGGACTGACAGAGCTGAAGGACCAAATGAACAACCTGAACAGTGGTGTCGTTGACCTCACCCAAGAAGAACCTCCAACTGAAGAGGAAGTGGGTGTCGAAGAAACAACAGATACACATGAACCACTGGAAGATCCGGATTCTGAACTTGTTCCAGCAATACAGCCTGGTTCACCAGAGGAACCACCATTGTTTCCTGCACCTGCAAGACGAGTTCGTGCCAAAACAGGAGACTATGTTCCTAGGGAAATTGTGCAATCAATTCCTGAACCAGAACAGCCTCGCTCGATTCCCATGGAAGTCGAACCACCACAACAAGAGGAGCCATCACTGGAATACTCTCCAGAGTATGCTGAACCGGAACCATCGCAAAAACGAGAGGTCATCGATGTCGAGTCCGACCCGGAAGAACCAATTGAAGAACCACCTGACAAAAGACAAAGGCTTGAGTTCATCGAGATGCTCTACACGGCAATTTCACAATCAGTGGCCCAGAGAAAGAGAAAGGAGTTCCGAGCAACAGACTTTGAAGGTAAAGATCGTGATCGCCTGCTGAAGTCCATGACAAAAGAAATCAACCAAAATCTTGAATCAGGTGCTTACAAGCTTCTGGATATTCAGACTTCCGAGAAGATCAAGAAGACGATGCCTGACAAGATTATGGGATCTCGCTATGTCCTGACCAAGAAACCTCTTGAAGACGCAGATATTCCAAAAGCACAGCTAGAGGATCTCTTGCTGGATGATCGAACTCATGGACCAGCCAAGGCGAAAACAAGACATGTGACGCAGGGCTTCTCGGACCCTTCAGCATTGGATGTTCCAACAACTACACCACAGGCGACAAGAGATACAGTTGTTTTCATAGCACAGATCCTGAGCAGTCTTCATTGGACTCCTGGCTATCTGGATTTCACTCAGGCCTTCCACTCGGGAAGCGGCATCGATCGAGAACTCTATGCTCGGCAACCGCCGGAAGGTATTCCAGGTGCTGATCCTCGACAGCTGCTCAAATTGTTGAAACATTGCTATGGATTGACCGACGGTCCATTCAAGTGGTATGAACATTTGAGCCAATATCTTTTGTCACAGGGCTACGTTCAATCTCGGCTGGACCCGTGTTTGTTTTTCTTGTTCGGTGGAGACCACAGCACTGGACAAACACTGTGTGGTATTTTGGGAGTTGCAACTGACGATGTTTTTCATGGTGGTAATGAACAACACTGGAAAATCATCGAGCAAATATCCAAAGACTACAAACTAGGTAAGAACCAACGGGGTTCGGGCCGCTTCACTGGCAAGGACATTGTCCACAATGAGGATGGATCCATTTTCATTGGACAACAGTATTTTGTTGAAGACAAGGTGAAGCAAATTCCAATTGATAGGAAGCGACGTCAACAGAGATTCTCAAGATGCAATGCACAAGAAATCGAACAGCTGAGAGGACTGCTTGGTACATTGTCATGGCTTTGCAAGGAAACACGCAGTGATCTAGCTGGCCGAGTTGCATTGCTACAACAGAGTTTTCCAGCACCAAAGGTTCGGGACATTGAGCAAGCAAACAAGTTGGCTCAGGAAGCACATCAATTCAAACACCTGGGAATTCTTGTACAACCAATCAGTCTTTCAAAACTTCGAGTTGGTGTTGTGAGCGATGCCTCCTGGGGCAATGCCAGGGAGTCCAGCGAAGGACTCGAGGACAACGTGAAAGACGATTATTGGGAAGAACAAGAGACATGCTGGGTGAGACATCACAAACATCCCCGCAAGAGTTTCTTTCATCCAAGTTTTTGCACTACAGGTCCTAGTCCGCACGATCTTCAAAGAGAACGCAGAACAGAAATGCTAGATTTTGAGGGTGAACGGTTCTGTAAAACCGAAATAGATTCTTGGAATGAAACAAAAGGTATTCGCAATACAGAGCAGCAATGGGTTGGCCGCACAGTTTTCAAAAAGGCACTCAACAAAACAGATCGTATTCCACCGTCACAGATCCGGAATCTTTCAGAGCAACAAGAGTGTCTGAGTAGTCAAGGAGGTCAATTCATTGTTTATTATGATGAAAGCTTGACATCCTCACAGCAGCCAACTCAGGTGGCACTTGCCGCTTGGAAGAGTTATCGCTTGAAGCGGAAAGTCGTTAGCACCTTGGGAGCAGAATGTCAAGCCCTGGTCAATGGAGTTGGACATGTGAACTGGCACCGCCTTTTGCTGTTGGAAGTGTTGAGTGGTCAATTAACATCTTCTGAGTGGGAGCTCCGCTTGAAAGAATTGCCATTCATTTCGGTCACTGATAGCAAATCCCTTTACGATTCTCTTCGTAAGGAAGCTTGTCCTGCAGCGCAGTTCAGCGACAAAAGAGTTGCTATAGACATATCTGTACTGCGAGATGAGTTTCGCCATCAAGGCGGCTGCATCAGGTGGATAGATACACGAGCTATGATCGCAGATTCCTTAACAAAAGATTGCCTGCCCGGATATCTTCGATACATCATGGAACATGGCAGGTGGGCAATTTTCGAAGAAGGAGTAGCTCTCCAAAGGAAAGCACTCGAAAGAAAGGACATCCAAAAGAAAGTTGGAGCAGTGTCGAAAGGGTGTCCACTGACCTGACCGTTGGATGTCCTCCCGCCACCAACCGTGTGGCTCAAGATCTCGTTCGCCGATCGTTGTCAAACAGTGCGCCATGACACCTTGCTTTTGACCTCCCTACCACCTGTTTCATACAATATACAGTATAGTGTGTGTATATATATATATATATCACGACTTGTTCTGTTCCCTCTGTTCAAAAGTTTGTTTGCTGATTTCCCATTTGTCTTCTAAGTTTTTGAGTTCAAAGTAGGGTCCGTGAAACTTGTCGGCGTGCACAATTGTAGATGTTGTAGCAGGCCTTGGATGTTTGCATGCAGGATCCCTCCCGTTCAACAAAAGAACTTGACGAGGTGATCGGTTGGTTGAGGAAGGAGGAGATCTGGATGCTGGCACATCGTAGCACCCATTGGGGTTCCTAAAGCTGGGCTTCGAATCGGATGAACTCATTCATCACGACCTGGATCTACCTATATTAAATCATCGAAAATCTAAAACTTTGGCCAACCTCCTTGCGATTGTAGGACTGTGCGTCCCCATCTAAACCATTTCTTTGACAAACAGGTTGAGAAAACTTGAAAAAAAAAAACAGGAAAATCGGGTCTGATGCGACTCCTCTATTTCGGCTCCTTGCTGATGGCCCGGAGCAGTGAAGCAGAACTGGGACTGGCGATCACATCCTCCAGTGAGAATGGATCTCCACGGCACCATGGCGGCCGAGTCGCACGAGTCGGAGATGTTGGATTCAAACGGTCGTAAAGACCTGGATGTTGGTCCAAGCAGCACGTCTTTGTTTGTTTCACCACAGAATTTGGCATGCTTGGAGGATCTTGGAGGATGGTATTTCCTTTGTTGGATGGGTGGGATGTCTCTTTGACGGCGTGGAATACAGCTGAATCGTTTGATTGACCACAGAGAAAAAGAAAAGAGCACCTGTGAACCATCGGTATTAGGTTATATAAGTTTCCCTAAAAATCTAGGAACCAAATGATTAGTGCGAGCGCTATCCTGCGTCCCAGGTAGTAGCTACTTCAGCTACTGGCTACCTCTCCCTACTAGCTAGCTACTTACCTGCCTAGCTACCTAGCTAGCTACCTAGCTAACCTAACTAACCTACCTCACCTCTACTAGCGGCCTACCCCCCGAAAAAGAAAAAGAACTATGGGACCTGTTTGCCCTCAGCTTAGGTCTCCGGGCTGAGACGTCGCTGAAGCCACCTGGGCGCTCCCGAGCCCTGACAAACTGCAAAACAAGTAGGGAGGCCAGGAGCCCCATTCGTGGCGTCCTTGCTCCTAGTAAGGAGCAAGGACGCTACTAGGGGCTCCTGGCCTTACTATTAGAAACAAGAAGCTACTAGGAGCTCCTGGCATCGCTACTAGGAGCAAGGACGCTACTCGGGGCTCCTGGCCTTACTACTAGGAACAAGGACGCTACTAGGGGCTCCTGGCCTTACTATTAGGAACAAGGACGCTACTAGGAGCAAAGGGCATCGCTAGGACGCTACTAGGGGCTTATGGCCTTACTATAAGGAACAAGAAGCTACTAGGAGCGAAGGGCATCGCTACTAGGAGCAAGGACACTACTAGGGGCTCCTGGCCTTACCACTAGGAACAAGGACGCTACTAGGAGCAAAGGGCATCGATACTAGGAGCAAGGACGCTACTAGGGGCTCCTGGCCATACTACTAGGAACAAGAAGCTACTAGGAGCTCCTGGCATCGCTACTAGGAGCAAGGACGCTACTAGGGGCTCCTGGCCATACTACTAGGAACAAGAAGCTACTAGGAGCAAAGGGCATCGCTACTAGGAGCAAGGACGCTACTAGGGGCTCCTGGCCTTACTACTAGGAACAAGGACGCTACTAGGAGTAAAGGGCATCACTACTAGGAGCAAGGACGCTACTAGGCACTCCTGGCCCTACTACTAGGAGCAAGAAGCTACTAGGAGCTCCTGGCATCGCTACTAGGAGCAAGGACGCTACTAGGGGCTCCTGGCCTTACTACTAGGAGCAAGAAGCTACTAGGAGCTCCTGGCATCGCTACTAGGAGCAAGGACGCTACTGGGGGCTCCTGGCCTTACTACTAGGAACAAGGACGCTATTAGGAGCTAAGGGCATCGCTACTAGGAGCAACGACGCTACTAGGCGCTCCTGGCCCTACTACTAGGAGCAAGAAGCTACTAGGAGCTTCCGCCGCGTCCCTGAAAGCTTCGCTCCGAGCCACTGCTCACGCTCGGCTGGCTCTGGGTTCTTTGGATGCCTGGCTTGGGGAGCTGGTGGAAATCATGAGTTGGTCGACTGAAGAACACCCACACCACAATTAAGATCAGGAAAATTTGATAAATCAGAGCTGCTTGGACCACAGAGTGGTCCGGATTTTGAGAGACAGCAGCATGGCTTGATGTGCGATGAGTTCAGTTGATGGGTGCATGGAAAATCATAACAGCCGCTTCGTGTGGGCATTCTTTACCCACGAGATTTGGGAGGTTACAGACGGCTGTTTGTGAATGTAGCTGCGGCTGGACAAATTTAAGCACTGAGAACAGGGGACTAGTGATGATAGTGGTTGTCTTCTTTCATGGGAGAATCCCCTGCGACACTGAGGTACTCATTGACTGCTTGATCGCCGCAATGTAGGCAACTGCCTCCGATCCAGATGTTAAAGGAAATGCTGACCACTTAATGCCACAGCAGCCCCGAAAGAGGTGTCCCACGCAAGAGCTTGGACCGAGCTCAGTCGGGTACCTCATGTTATGCTCTGAGCTCTTCAAAGTCACCATCCCACACCCTTGCACAAAGAGATCCTGAACTCCTAAGCATGCCCCAGCAATCACTGGACTCCATGCGATTCACCAAAGAATGGCGACTAAAAAGACAACTTTAAAATGTGACCCCTGATGTTACTTGAAGAACTGCTCATGTTAATATGGCCCTTGACTCTACCCTTGGCAACCACTGTTGCACTGACAAACACCCCGCTTCATGATTCTTCCACCACCCAGATCGGGCTGGGCACGGCGACGGGGCAGTGCAGGGCTTACAGGGAAGCTGCTTTCTCCCTGGAGAGGTTGGGTGAAGCCCTTCTCGGTGGGCTTGGGTCTCATGAATCGAATAGCACAGATCAGCCAAAAACAAAGATCCTGGTGTAGAAGAGCAAAAGACATGGGGCACCCCATCAAACAATCCTACGATATCAACGCGCCTACCAAAAGTGACTGAGAGTACTTGATGGGAAGCTCAGGAATGCGCGCGGCCGGGCACGGCGGTCGTGGCCCGAACAGGTTCGCAATGCATCCTCCCTGACCCATGCAGTCTCCATCTAGTTTCATCTTTGACCCACGCCTAGATCAGCAATCAAATGACGAATAGTGAAGACGATATTTTAAAACGACACACATGGCCAATCATAGCAACCCTGCAGCCCAGTAGCACCATTCTCGCTGGTCCACACTCACCAACAAAAAAAGCAAACCCACCACCTCAGCAGAGGAGGCAAAGGAACTCCGCCGCGCTGATCCCTGGCATGCACAGAGGTGGACAGGCTGTTTTGGGCGAAGAAGAAAAGCTCCCCCGAAGTCGTGGCCCGAAAAATGACCGTAAAATCACAAGTTCCATAAAATCTACGAAAGCATGCGCTGTGGAAGTGGTCAGATATGCTTTCGGCCTTTGTGGTGATTCTCTACATGTGTTACATCCACGACTGGAGCTTCATGTGCCGGACGTTTGAGTTTCGTGTGAGGGTCTCCAGGGCGGCTCCAGATTCAAATTCCATATCCATGCTGGGACTGGTGCCACGACGATCCATCTAGGTGGTGTAGCAAGTCTGCTTCTGATTTATTGTTTTTTTTGGAGGGACTTTTGTGTGCCGCGATTGTTACTTTGTCAGGATTTGGATGGATTTGGGATCTCTAAGCACACTTGATGAGACGACTTGAAGATACTTGAAGAGTGAGTTTTTGGATTGAAGTAGAAAGAATACCCATGTACAGAGTCGATGAACAGGGGAAGCTGGACATGGGCGTTCTTTTGTCCAGGTCTGCTCGACACTGAAACGCCGGCACCTGCGACCTGTACCTGTAGGGATTGTACAGAGACAGAAACCACATATTATTTCACCCCTGGAACCTGATGCACACCCCCCCCAAAGCTTTCGAAGGAACCGTTGCAACCACACGCCACTTTTGGGAGGGTGTCCTCCAGTGTTTTGTGATCCAACCCATCTCCGCAGCCGGGAGTGTCCTGATCTGAATCTGAGTGTCTCCTTGAGATGCCCTTAGTCGGTCGTCGAGTGACTTGTCTGCATGTGGAGATATGGTCACATGGTTTTGGGAAACTAAACGTCAGGGTATGATTGTTTCCCTTGAGTATGATTGTTTCCCCACTCCCAGCTGTTTTTGAGATGCAGCCGCAAGCAAATTGCCAAAGCCCGCAGCCAGAGCTGGTTGAGAAACCATACTCTCAGCTGCCTCCCGGGCCACCACGTTTACTTGACATTGAGAAATAGATGTTTGGACAGCACAGAGGCAACTGTGAATCTAAGTCAGGGTAGACCTTCAAACCAGAGGTACAGGATGCTTATTCAGACTGCAGATTGTAAGGCTATGGCAGTCAAAAACTCGAGCGTCCACCGATGTCAAATGATGTCCACCGGTGTATCGTGCGCAGCTCCTGGGGTTCCGGGGATATCAGAGACCATCTCACAAGCTTCCAGTACCAGTACCAGTAGTTAGTTAGTTAGTTAGTTGGTTAGTTAGTCAGTTAGTTAGTTAGTTGGTTAATTGGTTAGTTGGTTAGTTGGTTAGTTGGCTAGTTGGCTAGTTGGTTGGTTGGTTAGTTGGTTAGTTGGTTAGTTGGTTGGTTGGTTGGTTGGTTGGTTGGTTGGTTGGTTGGTTAGTGAGTGAGTGAGTGAGTGAGTGAGTTAAGGTTAGTTAGTTAGTTAGTTAGCTGGCTAGCTAGTTAGTTTGTTGGTTGGTTAGTTAGTTAGTTGGCTAGTTAGGGTAAGGTAAGGTGAGGTGAGGTGAGGTAAGGTAAGGTAAGTAAGGTAGGTAAGTAAGGAAGGAAGTTAGTTAGTTAGTTGGCTAGTTGGTTAGTTGGTTAGCTGGTTGGTTGGTTAGTTGGTTTGTTGGTTAGTTAGTTAGTTAGTTGGTTAGTTTGTTGGTTTGTTGGATTGTTTGTTTGGTTGGTTGGTTCGTTAGTTAGTTAGTCAGTTAGTTAGTCAGTCAGTTAGTTAGTTAGGTAGGTAGGTAGTAGTAGTTAGTAGTAAGTTGTAGTTAGTAGTTGTAGTTGTTGTAGTTAGTGATAGCTGTTGGTCGTAGTCGTAGTGGTAGTGGTAACTAGCAAGCAAGTGGAACGTAGTTACTAGTTGTAGTAGTAGTAGTAGAAGTAGAAGTAGGAGTAGGAGTAGGAGGAGTAGTGGTAGTGGTAGTGGTAGTGGTAGTGGTAGTGGTAGTGGTAGT